GGCTTCACTTGGAAGCATGGAGGAAATGTTTCCTCTGAGTTTCCTCTTTGTAGACTGGACACTGGTTCAAGTCTATCCTGTGGGGACTCCATGGCCTCCCTGAATAAGAGGACAGGTGACCCACCACAGTTACAGGACATTTTGAGAGATGTTCCATAGTCCCCGGAACTTAGTCAACCTTGGAGGGCAAGGGGCAAAAACTGTCCTTTAAGTCCCTCTGACCAGATTAGTGTAGACCTCAAAGTATGGCTGTTAAACATCCAATAAGGTTAGTTCCACCAGTCTGGTACTTTTAATTACTATGTGCTATGTAGATAAAGCTTGGGTAAAAAAACCCAAATGTTCTCTGATAAACCTTGACTAGGTATATATTTTGTTCCTTAAACTAGTTGCCTAAATATGACCTTAGAAATTTTAAGATTATGTGTATATTATTTTTGTCTCATCCTAACAAACCTACATAGACCCCAATCACTTGCTTAGGCTTTCTCATTTTCTCTATTTTGGAAAATACCTCCGCTCCCATATCCTATTAACATCTTTTACATTCTCATTTCCTTTTTAAATAATTATGTCATAATAACATTAACAAATAAATTTTCCATTTGCTGTGAGAATTCTTTTCCTTGGGATACTAGGCAATGCTTATTCCCTTTTAAGGTTCTAGTGTCAAACCAATGTTTGATTAAAGTTTTATTGGGGAACCAATGAATTTACTGAGCTTACCTACCAAGATAACTGAGGGGTTGCTGAGGTGTGTGTGACCTGAGGGTATGCACACTGGAAAGCCTTTACCCAGCATGGGTCAAGCCTTCTCTTCCTAGCCTTCCCCAGATTGTATACTTTAGCCCTCCTCAAATCTAGGAAATCATGTGTGATTAGGGCCAAATTACATATAGTTGACTGGGAAGAGTGGCTGGATACTCTGGTGAGGGTCCAGTGACCTTGTTTGCCCCTCCTTTAATAAAGGTACACAACCAACAAAAAGCCCAATTGTAATGATGTTTAGCAATCAGGCACTGCTGAAGTCGTGATGATGGTATTTATTTCATGCAGAAGAGACTGCTGTACAGTATCATCTTATTAAAAGGACATGTAATTTAAAAGGATTTGGTACTAGGATCCACTAATGAGGGAGAACATATGTCTTTTTTTTTCTGAGATTGTGTTACTTCACTTAGTATAACAGATTCTAGGTATAACAGTTTCTAGATCCATCCATTTACCTGCAAATTTCATTATTTCATCTTTCTTTACTGATGAATAGAACTCCATTGTGTAAATATACCACATTTTTCGTTAACCACTCGTCAGTTGAGGGGCACTTAGATTGCTTTTATCTCTTAGCTATTGTGAAAAGAGCAGCAACAAACATGGTTGTACAAGTGTCTCTGCAATAGGATGAATCCTTTGGGTATATGCCAAGGAGTGGTATAACCAGGTCATACGGTAGGTTCATTTTTAGTTTTTTAAGAGTTCTCCACACTGCTTTCCATAAGGGTTGAACATGTTTGCAGCCCCACCAGCAATGGATGAGCGTTCCCCTTTCTCCACATCCTCTCCAACATTTGGTATCATTTGTTCTCTTGATCCTAGCCAGTCTGGTTGGGGTAAGGTGATACCTTAGGGTGATTTTAATGTGCATTTCCCTAATTATTAATGATGTTGAAAACTTTTTGAGATATTTCTTAGCCATCTTTATTTCTTCCTTTGAGAACTCTCTGTTTAGATCTTTATCCCATGTTTTAATTGGGTCATTTGTTTCTCAATTCTTTGTTTTTTGAGTTCTTTACATATTCTGGATGTTAAACCTCTGTCAGATATGTCACCGATGAAGTTTTTTTTTCCCCACTGTGGTTTTCTTCACTTTTTTGAGTGTTTCTTTTGCTGTACAGAAGCTGTTTAGTTTAATAGTTTAGTTTAGTCCCACTTGTTGCTTGCTGACCTTAATTCCTGAGCAACTTCTGTCCAATTAAAAAATCATTTCCTACACTTATATCTTGTAAGTTACTACCAATATTTTCTTCTAAAGGTTTCAGGGTTTCCAGTTTCACATTGAGGTCTTTGATCCATTTGGAGTTGACTTTTCTGCAAGGCAAAAGATAAGGATCTAGTTTCATGCTTCTACAGGTAGAGATCCAGTTTTGCCAGCACCATTTGTTGAAGATGCTGTCTTTCCTCCATTGTGTGTTCTTGGCACCTTTGTCAAATAGCAGGTGGCTGAACTTGTGTGTAGTCTGGTTTGGGTCTTCAATGATGTTCCATTGATCTGTGTGTCTATTTTTCTGCCAGTATCATGCTGTTTTTATGACTATAGCTCTATAGAATACTTTTGAGATCTGGTATAGTAATCCCCCCAGCACTGCTCTTTGTGCTCAGGGTTGCTTTGGCTATCTGAGGTCTTTTGTGCTTCCATACGAATTTAAGGATCTTTTTTCTAATTCTGTGAAGTATGTCAAGGGGATTTTGATTGGGATTGCATTGAATCCATGTATTGCTTTTGGTAGGATGGTCATTTTAACAATATTAATTCTTCTAATCCATCAACATGGGTGGTCCTTCCATCTCCTGGTGTCTTCCTCAGTCTCTTTAACGATTTCAAATTTTCATTGTAGAGATCTTTGGTATCTTTCGTCAGATTTCTTCTAAGGTATTTTAATTTTTTTGTAGCAATTGTGAATGGGAGCATTTCCCTGTATTCTTTCTCCAATTGCTTATTATTGGTATATAGAAAGGCTAAAGATTTTTATAGATTGATTTAATAACCTGCCACTATACTGAAAGTGTTGATCAGTTCTAGGAGTTTTCTGGTGGAACTTTTAGGTATAGGTGGATCTCTTAGGTATAGTGTGATATCATCTGTAAAAAGTGATAGTTTGACCTCATTTTTCCAATTAGTACTCCTTTAATTTGCTTCTCCTGTCTTACTGCTCTAGCAAGAGTTTCAATCACTATGTTGAAAAGGAGTGGAAATAGTGGACAGCCTTGTTTGGTTCCCGATTTTAATGGTAAAACTTCTAGTTTTCCTCCATTTAGAATGATGTTGGATGTGGATTTGTTTTATATAGCTT